TATCATAATGTATAATAATATATTAGGTGTTGGAATTAATTCGTAGCGTTTTTTAATGAAAGAATGTTATTTATTTCACATGAGCATTAAAAAATACATTAATGAAAGTACTTCCCATCACTTGTAAAACGCTACGAATTAATTCCAACACCTAATATAATATATAATATATAATAAATAATTGAAGCCCGAATCTGCTTTTCTTCGTTCTAAACGCCGCGCACCACGAAAATTAATTGCTATGTTGTAAACAGCTTATGTTTGTATCAGACGAATTGAAGATTACGATTAACGGTTTACGATTGCCTGATTCTACTTCAACCAATTATGATATAGCAAATCCATCGTAATAGGCTTAAATAGAACCAGACAACTGTCAATCGTCAACTCAGTCTGATACTCTCCTTAGAACGCACCTAGGCTAATATATGCACGTTTCGACGCTTTGCAGCTGGGTTCCCCTATTCTCAGGGTTCTTCTCTTATCTCATTATCTCGTGCGCAATCTAAATCCTAATCCGCCAGCTTTGATCTAGAGTACTAAAAGGGCATCATTGCATATAACAAAGGAATAAGATATAATATAATACAATATGATATGTTATCTTAATGCTCGTATCATTTCATCAAAGTGTAACCATCTACTAATTAGCCCGTCATGTAAAGCCTATTAAGCACGTGTCGTATACGAAGGGAAGAGGAAACATGAAAGGACTGCTAAATAATTAGATCATTACGCAGCATGTAATAAGAGCTCTTCACTTGGAGTAGTATCGTCTATGTTGGGATTCGTGTATGACACATTCGAATTGCATATTCCTTCTTCGTCTTATTAGAATAAACTTCTCATAGACGCTCTCGCATTAATATGAGTATTGACATGCGAGATCATCAATATGGAAAACTTAAGCCGGCGACATGATGTTTTTTTTTTGCTAGATTGCTAGATAAATTAAATTCTTGCCACCATATTAGTTGTGGTGCTGACAATGCCATTATCGTATCCAGCCAATTCAGAAATGATAATGGAATCGAATAATCCAGCTAGCAATCCAGCAGGAAAATGAGCATCGTGTACCGTCGGTTTTATTCAAAACATGCATTCAAGAGATTTATTCGAAGATGAGAAAGAAATACACAATTTTGCGGTGCTACTTCTACAGCGCGCGGAATTTGGAATGGAGAAAAGTAGCAGCACGAAATCCGGATATCGTATATGATAAAACAAATTGGATGTTGAATTCCGATTGGAAATATTGTTTTATATACAAAACACAATAGGAATTTCTGATTTAAGAGAATCCTAATGTAAAGCCTGAACTTTCCGACGAAGTTACCAAAGGTTCCTGTTCTTTCAGTGCATCGACATATATATTTATGTACTACAACACCAATATCTCACGCAATCTATACACGCAGTTTCACGTTCGTGTCAGTTTTCGTATAACAAATTCGTCATGATAAAGTATCTAAAACTCAATTTCTTCTTCTAGATAACTTCATCCAAAAGATATCTCCCAAAATATAATCGAGATATCTCCTGGATAGGATTATCCGCAATTTATCTGAAAGTGAAGAAATTGGGTATAAATCTATTAGGTGTTGGAATTAATTCGTAGCGTTTTACAAGTGATGGGAAGTACTTTCATTAATGTATTTTTTAATGCTCATGTGAAATAAATAACATTTTTTCATTAAAAAACGCTACGAATTAATTCCAACACCTAATAATTCTAAAAAGTTGACGTTATTTGTTCGTGCAAATTACGTGTTTGTGAATTTCGTAAATATAGGTTGGAAAACTTTCGTATCAAACAAATATTGTCACGATTTGACGTCTTAAGACGCCGCATATTACAAGAAATGATAAAAAAATATATCAATTTCGAAATTTTTGGTCGTTTTCGGCATAAATTCCACCTCACAGATGTATTAATGTATATGCTTTAAAATGCTCCTGGAAAAGGATTTTCGAATCTGTGAAAGAGAAAGAAAGTATTTGTTATACAAAATTATATGATTAGTTGGTAATACAGACTTTAGGAGCCTCTTAATTATTCCAAGCGAAATTTATTTAGAATAATTCCAATATACATATTTTGGACTCTAATAATAATATTAGCTGTTGTGATGTAATAGTAGTAATTAAAGCAATCTTTATAATAGAAATTTATTGCTATTCTCAAATGACATGAAATTATGTCATTTTACTAAGTGCAAACTTGTCAATATTACGTAACTATAGGAATGTTTACAATTATAATTCAAACAGAGCAGAGTTATTGACATTTATCGATATTACATTCAGAAATTTTCCAGAACATTAATCATGTTTTAATAAGGCTTTGCACAATAATAAATTTCTTCTTAAATTTATAAATTAATAAATTAATAATTAATAATTTAAATAACAAAACTATTTGAAATCTAAAGTAAAAATATTTAATATTTTTTAAATTTAATTTACATAATTTTATAATTTAAAGGTTTAAATTACAATATAAAGCTCCACAGATAAACTCAATAATGATAATGTAAGGAAACGCCTATGTGAGCCGACACAAGATATTCAAGTGTAATAATACATATATTAAAAATTTCATTACAAATGGTTCAACCTTCTAGTATTGGGTCCTCTTCAATGTAAAAATGTTAACCATCCATAGAGATATAAAATGATGTTTACTCGCCAAGTCGTCAAATCGTTAAATTGTCAATAATTGAAAACTTCTGTCATCTGTTATATTTTGTCAGATATACAAACTGATCACGTTAAATGTATTGTACTTCAACTAAACTTAAAACTTAAAACTAAACTTAAAACTAGATTGATAATGCTCTGTTACGATGTGAATACAAAGAGATGTTAGTATCGAGTAGTAAAGCTCGATAATCAGTATCTTTAATCTGGTTTTAATTGAAATACATTTAACATAATTTAGTCAGTTTGTATATCCGATTATTACACAATATTTTGTGTTGGCTCACATAAGCATTGCCTTACATTATTATTATTGAGTTTATAATTTAATTATTATATTTTATAATTTTATACGTTTAAAATTTCAAATTGTAAGATAACTTTAAAATTGATTACGTCGTAATAATTGTATTATAATTTCAGATTTAGAAATATATAAATATATAAATTTATATATATTAAATTTATTATGTCAAGAAAAAGTTAAAGCTCATTATTAAAAAAGTATAATAACGTGATAGCATCGCGATGCCAAGTACATTGTCTATGCATGTGTTTGTCTGGCTCTCAGTGCTCTCCCAATGACGCGGACGAGATAAGTCTGCTCCCCTCTTCTATACGCATATACATGTACGTTATCAATTTTAAATAATGCCGAAAGTAGAGTAGGTCATACACATATATATCTACACGCACATATTTGTAAGAAATTAGAAAGAATTAAAATTTATTTTTTCTTTTTTATCAAGTAACGCGATAGCAACGTCAAATGCGTAAAAATATGAAATGGACCGCTTGATTGTGATGTATGAACGTCATTGCGTGTGTGTGTATATATATATATATATATATATATATTCTCAATATAGATATATAGACAGATATATAGACGATTATAGACATATATAGACGATTTTTTTTTGCTAAAATTTTGTCCGAAGCTTAATTATATATATATATATTCTCAAAAATAGAGCACCAGTTTCACAACTCTTAACTGAGGTTCAATTTATTCCTCATCTCTTTCTAATGCTAGAATTAAAAGAGATGAAAAATAAGTTGAACTTTGGAAGAATTAACCGTGAGTTGTAAAATTAGACTTAAATAAAAAATCCGAAAATACTAAATAAACTCCAAAATATTATAAAATTTAATTATAAAAAGTTCATAATTCTTATGTGTGTGTGTTGATATTTTCAATTTACATCCAAAAGATGTGATTTTTAGGTTAATCTGATTAGGTTAATCGCAAATACAAATTAGCAAACTTCATACCTTTTCCATTACTTAATTTACGTTGCATTATTTTTACTTTAGTAGGATCGATTTCGACAAGTTATAACCTTAACCTTTTTCAATTTTCAATATTTTAATAAAATTTTTAGTAACACATCGGCTATTATACCATTATAATTGGCGGTATTATGAACAAGATATCCAACCTGCAAAGGTAAACTGCAGGTTCATTTACACAGTACTGCGAACAGGTTGTACGGGACTTCTGAGATAGTTGCGCAGATGACATAAATCCCTACGAATGATAAACGAATGACAAACTGCAATCGCTTTCGCAGATAGAATAAACGAATGCACCCATAAAAAAGGGAGAGAAAGAGGGATTGGAGAGAGAAGGGAAAGAACGAAACTCTAAAATCGTTGAGTCCCAGCGAACGAATAAAAGCGAGCGCTTACTTGAAATAGGGCGCTCGATATTCATAGTCGATTCTTACATTTAAGACTGTCTTAAGTATAGTCTTAAGATGTCATAAGTCAATCCGAGGATTGTATTAGCATCTTAAGACATTATTTAAGACAGTTTTAAAATAAAAACAGACTATAAATACCGCCCCATGTTTCGCGTTTTACAGTTGACAGCTTTTGCTTTTTATGCAACATTGGCCTAGGGGTTAAACCGGATCAGAATGTAAGAACCAACCAATTACAGTCGTATTCCTTACAGTATCCTTATGTACTCCGTTACAGTCGAACGACAGCGGAATGCTTGAGTTGGGAAATGATTATACAATAAGTATAAGTTGGTTGGTTCTTAGGGGCTCCGCACAATAAAAGAAACAAGGAACAGAGAACAGAAAATAAGAATTTCAACCTATCAGAAATCATGTATTGTAGAATACATAGTTTCTGATAGGTTGGAATTCTTATTCTCTGTTCTCTGTTCCCTGTTCCTTTTATTGTGCGCAACCCTTTACACTCTGATCCGGTTTAAACCCTCGGTGGAAACTTGGCCATTGGCAACATTCACAGAAAGAGACAGCGGAGATTTAGAGAGGAACGCTTGCTTCTTGAGCATGTGAACACATCATGTTATCCCTTCCATCGTGGTCGACGTTTCGTAGTGTAATGTGGATCGGAAAAGAAAAAAATATACTGTACGAGCCTGAGAACGATTAACGTGTCAGAATCCATCGATCGCATCATTTGCTTTGATAAGACTGGAACATTAACCGAAGACGGTTTGAATATGTGAGGCGAGTGTATTAGATGACAAGTTTAGATATGTGGGGTAAGTGTATCAAATGGCAAGTTTCAATTATCTGTCAAGGACATTGCTAAGGACATCTTACTGTTTAAATCTTACTGTTAGTAAATCTTACTGTTTTGATTTTAATAATACAAATAACATCTCTATTTGTTCTTTTTGTAGGTTCTCCAAATTTCGCAGCTGTTGTACAAGAATATACATCCGAAGGATATCGAGTGATCGCTCTCGCGCACAAATCTCTGAATTGTCTTCCGTACGCCAAGGTGCAACGCATAAATCGTGAAGCTGCCGAGATTGACTTGACATTCTTGGCGCTTATAATTATGGAGAGATTTCGCCGGTGCTCGCCGAATTGAATACCGTGTACATTAAAAAACGGTGATGGTGACGACAATACATTGATCGCACTCTCAGAGACTGCGACATCGTAAAGCCAGTTACGCCTGTGATCCATCAAATGGAAACCACAGATTTACTTCACAAAGAGCGATAGTCAACCATCACCAATCTTACTAAATAGTCAGCCGGCAAAATATTCGATTTGAACAATGTAATTAATTTAATTTGAAAATTGTCGAGAGAGGTTCCTTCGGTAATACTAAGTTGGAAGATAATATCAATTATTTATCAGATGAGTAAGTATCTGTGTTTTTATTAAGCACTGTGTGATAAGATCTATTAAAAACATTGGATAATGTAAATCTATTGATTTATTTGAATTACAGTGTGCAATATTTCAAGAACAAGTACGCGTTTGCGTTAACAGAAAAAAAAGTGGGGATTAATAAAGCAGTATTATCCAGAACTGATACTTAACGTGGTGTTCCGCGATGTCATTTTTGCGAGAATGTCGCCGGATCAGAAGCAGCAGTTGGTTCAAAAACTGTAGTCTTAACTTATGATATTACATTGGTAAGTGTGAACAAAAAACATTTAAAAAATATTTAATTGCATTTACATTTAAATGGAGAATTAAGTATGAATAGAAGTGTTTGAGCTATTGTAATTGGCCAATTTACTTACTGCTATGTCTTACTGTCTTAAGTTTTTTTGTGTTCCTGATTTGAATCACAGTTAACATTTTTTTAAGCGTATTATAATTTAAATGAATTTTTTAATAACTTTTTTTATAAATATTGTATTTCGCTTTTTACGCGCGCGGTGATCACATTTAAATTGCTTCGCATTTAAATTATTATCTAAGAAATTAACTTAAAATAATAAAATATAAAAATAATGTTTTTAATCCTCCCAAAGAAACCTTTACAATAATATAATAAAAGAAAACGATATTAGAACAAGAAGGGATTAAGGAATTGCATCATAAATATTTGCAAAAAATAGCTTCTAAGAAATAGAAATTTTTTGAAATTATTTCTTGGCTTACATCAGTTAGAAAGTATCAATACTCTAGTTTGCCCGATTAAGGCTCGATTGTTCCATCTTTTGGTAAATTTTACCTGTTGAATAAGTAGCAAGATTACCAATCACATGCGCGGATTGTTTATCTAACAAGTAAAATTTATCAAAAAGTGGAACAATCGATCCTTAATCAGACGAACGTACTGTGTTGTTAACTATATGTAATAAATCAATATGTGTATGTAGACGGTAGTAAGCGTAAAAAACACAGGTAAAAAATACAGTTAATTCAAAAAAAGAAAGTTCTAGTTGTTTCTAATGTATTATAATTTAATGCAAAAAAATGCAGAATGAGAAATTTTAAACAAAAAGTCGCAGATTTTTAAAGTTTATGGAATTTATATTGTGTGTGACGCATATGCGTAACAAAGAAAACCAGCAACTGTGTTATGAATCCTGACTTTGAATTCGCGCAGCGGTATTGCAAAGAGATAAAATTTAATTTCTAATTTTGATCAATTGTCAAAAAATATTGTAGTTTATAAGATCGTGTGCAATGATTGTGACGTCACATACATAGGACAGCAATTAAAAACAATAAAAATAAATAAAGGACAAACGGGCAATTGAGAATTGATATAGTGGTCGGTGCGTAATTCGCTTCGAAAAAGCTTTATCTTACATGAATAAAATAAAAATTGTACTTGTTTCGGCTAGTCTTCTAACCTTCTTCAACAAAAAGACGATGAATTCGATGATAATTGATTTGACGTCGATTTGATGCTTTCGATAAATCTACATCGATGTCGCTATGTCTTACTGCTTTAAGTTTTTTTGTGTTTCTGGCTTGAATCAGTCAATATTTTTTTAAGCGTATTAAAACTTAAATGGATTTTTTAATAAATTTGTTTATAAATATTATTGTATTTCGCTCTTGACGCGCGCGGTGATCACATTTAAATTATTACCTCATTTAAATTATTATCTGAAAAATTAACTTAAAATAATAAAATATAAAAATAATGTTTTAAAATTGCTTGTCAATTTAATTCACAATTACTAGAGTTTTAATTGCGTTTACAGTCCGGAAAAACAATTCGATGCGCAGTTCGAAAAGATTACAATATGGTATATATGTAAGTACATATATAGTGTATATTAGTAATTTAAGATTGAAATTTTTGAAATATTTAAAGCAATGAAGAGCCAGCTTCGACCGTAATAGGCATTTTAAATTTTTAGTAATGATTGTGTTTCTCACATATGTGGTCTAAAATAAAGATTCTTAATATTGTTTTTGTACAATTTTTATTTTATTTATGTAAGATAAAGCTTTTCCGAAGCGAATTACGCACCGATCATTGTGTCAATTCTCAATTGCCCGTTTGTCCTTTATTTATTTTTATTGTTTTTAATTGTCTGCCAGTCTTCATTGTACGGCGAACACAATATTTTGAACACGATCTCGTTGTTGAGGCTCCGCAATTATTTTCTCCGCTCAAACAAAAGGGGCATCTCTCACTTATCGATTTTACACATTCGAATTTTATTATTTTTCTTTTGTCTGTCTCGCGTACATTGATAATTGGGATGAGAGGATGGACGGAATAAAGATACAATTCTACTTAGGCTCTTTTTCCGGAGATTAGCTTTTTTATATAATATTGATTGTAATAGAGAAGTACTATAATAACATATAATTTTTTAAACACATTACATAAATTCATTTGTTACTGTACCCATTTATGTATAATAAAAATGTAACAAGTTATTTTAATTTTTATTAAGATCAAGATTTTTTAATTAGGCCTTTATTCCGCCCATCCCCTCAATTATTACACATGTATGTACACTAATGTGCACTTACATTGCTAATTTTAATATAATGTTATTTGAATGGCATTGTGAAAGTAACTTAATAGACAAAACGTTTTACATTGTATGCATTTATACGTGTGACTGATAAAAAAATTTGTTCGTTACTTGATAAAAAAATTTGAATTTTAATTACTTTAAAATTTCTTGTAAATATACGTGCACATATAATCTACTTTTGGCAGGACCACGACATAGACTTTTGCATATCACATAAGAGAATCAATCAATCAAAGTTCTTCTTTTCCGTGAAGGAAAGTGGGGGGATTCAAATTGGTTGATTCTCTTATGCGTATTGTGTTATGCTTTATATAAAGGTTTGTATTGCTGTCCACAATCAATAACGTGCACACATGGAAGATGAGAGCAGGTATGTATATATTCTAGGTATTGCCAAGGTAACGTCTGCGCTGCGCGCCGAGAGCAAGTCGTTTTGTTTCACGTCTAAATCGCTTTCGATTAAATAATACCATAGTATACATAATATCGTGATATGTAACTGATAAATTTACATAGAAATTCAATGATATCGGATGTCATGCTATTGAAATTGGATGAAAGGTAGGAAAAAGCTGCGAGGCGTTTAATAGCAGTAAGATATTGGTGCAATTTATGTGACGCATACGCGTAACAATGAAAACCGGCAACACTGTGCTGTGAATCCTGACGTTGAAATTCGCGCAGCAGTATTGCAAAGAGATAAAATTTAATTTCTAATTTTGATCAATTGTCAAAAACAATTGTGGTTTATAAGATCATGTGCAACGATTGTGACGTAATGATGAATACGTGTATGATAAAAGAAAGGTAAAATTTTGCTAAAATTGATCAAAATTTGAACCGTCCAAAAACCTAATAAAACGAATTCCATAATGTTTCTTAATACATATGGAAGAGAGAAATAATATTTGTAATGCCGAGTGTTAGGAAAATTTATGATAACAATAAAACGTTATACAAATTGTGAACTACATACGTGAGATATTATGTTTCAATTTCCTTTATATGTCGTATGTACAATCAGATTCTCTTGTACATATTCTAATATCTATATAAATATATATATATATATATATATATATTTAAATATATTTCAGAGGTTTCTAAAGATATCAACGATAGATCGACTCGATAGAAGCCAGTTGATTGCTTGCCGTCGTCCGCTTACAAATTCGAATTTTGTCGCGTTTTATTAAATGGGCTGTTAATTTTACGATTTCGATTTTAAAGTTTTAGAAATAGATTTTTTTAATGTTGTTCTTTCAAATAAAAAATAAAAATAATCGATTTATTTGACTGTCACACTAGAATCTTCTCTTAATATTAATATAGTGTGAATTTATAATGCTTATATCAACACCATCATAGTGTGGATTTAAAAACCATGACATTAATTCACATGTTGGTATTAACAGCAACATAGCAATTATAAAGATATCGCGTGATGTTAAATTTACAATATTTTTAAAAAAATATATATTACGTTACGTATTTGTAGTTACATTCACATCACAATAAATCAAAGTTTACTTGCTTGCGGTTTTTATGCTAATTCACGAAAACGATTACGCTGATTGATTTAATCAAGTCTCTAATTACCATATAGCACAGTAAACTATTATGCAACTGCCTCATGACATAGGTATTTTTTGTGCATTCTTAGTATTATTTCTACGCAGTAGTCTTTTATTTTTCATTGATCTAGGAAAAGAAACTTTGATCTTGAAAATCATTTGACAGAGTTGATACGATCCTTCCAACTATGTCTATTGAGAAATATCACACCGTCTTTTATTATAAATAAAGAATTCTACATTATGTTATGTGTGCACATCACACAAAAGTTAACTTTGAACTAATGTAGAAACGCAGGTCTATTAACCGGTAGGTCTATTTTTCTTTTATTGAACAGATTCATCTTTGCCCTAGCCAACCTAACGGTTAAAATATCCCAAATAGAGTTTTTATTTCTGAGGTTTTGGCCAGTTATTCGAGATTTTGGACCACTGTGTAGACTCTCGCAATCACTGCACAAATGTGTAAATTTCCAACAATGCATTATGTTTGTGCTATAAAGTTTTATCTCGTTCGAATCTTCAAATTATTGCGATAGATCTACTAACAGTCGAAGTACGGATCTCTTTGCATTTCGTGTCTCTTTATTTGATTCTTCTCGAGTCTATTGATTTTACGAGTAGAATAGGTGGCTAAAAAATGGGATTACTTTGTGTGTTTTTTTTTTATATAGTAAACATTAAAAAACCGAGAAATTTATATATGTGTACATTTTGTATGTGAAATTAGAATCAAAGTAGACTAAAACAAAACGCTGCTTCTATTTTTTCGTTTAGCTTAGTTTAACTTATCTATTCAATAATCAGGACTGGACTCGTTTCAATTATTAATAAATTAAAAGCACATAAATAAAAATAATACGTAACTGGAAAATAAAAGTTTATCTTAAAGAAGTTACAAGTTTCTAAAATTTTTATTTAGTTTAACAAAATATTTAATAGCAACTCCACCTCTTTTTTTGTCATCAATTTTAATGTATTTATGTTAAATAGATAAAAAAATAAAAATATTTTTTTTTTTATTATTACGCTTTGATATATATCATTTACGCACGAATGTAAAAACATAAAATAAATAAGTCTAGACGTCGCTAATATGTA